ATATATATATATATATATACACACACACATATATATCTAAAGATATCATTACCTGTATATGTATATATATATATATATATATATATATATACCTATACATATATGCATTTCACTGGATTAAATAAAGAAAACAATGCAAAGCATTGTCTTAAACCAGTCTGAGTTGAACTGGCAGAACTTCCAAACTACTTCAGAACAACTGTAGCTTAAAACAATTGTCATTTTATTAAGTTGTTTATAAAACGTGTTCAGATCCAGATGTTACAGTGTAATAATAATAAAAAATGTCTTTATTGTTGAAACCTACTTTTGCCGTGGTTTTGTGAGTTTTAAAAACAAATTGTACAGTGTATTTTTTTTGCTTTCTATTTGAGCCCAGGTTTGCTCTTGAGTCCCATCATGTTAAATATCTGCGCGTTAATATCACTCCACACCTCATAATTTTAAAGTATGAATTACACAAAATTTAACTTTATTTCTTAACATTTTGTCAAACTGGGAAACAAACAAAAACATGTTCAAACATATTTTTTCAATGCGACCCTAATACACCTTTATACTTTGTTGCTTCTGTATTCAAACTTTTTGTGTGTGTGTGTAAAACGTCCCATCTGTTGCATGGAGAGAGGTTGGCATTGACAAACTGCATGTAGTAGGCTATGTCTATCAAGAACTGTTGGTATGTACCGCTACTTTTACATATATGCAATGAGATTGTCTACACTACAGTTTGTGTTTGTTGTATTCACATACACAAAATACTGAATAAAATATTTATATAAAGGCCTACTGTAATATCATTAACTTAATATGTAATGCACTATAGCATGCAGTATATTACTGCATCAGTCATTGTTGATGGGACACAGAAAACAGATGGGTTGGCTTACTTAAGCATGGAAAACGCCAAAGTATAAATAATACATCTTCCTTGTGAGTCTTATTAGTCTTCTATTGATGTGAGGAAGCAGCTCTCATCCCCTTACATCACCGTTTGAAGTGACATGGACATACAGTATGCCACAAGTGAAAGATTTATGCCCTCCTGTTTGTTTCTTCTACTTTAATCATCACAACCAGGCGAGTGAAGATTTACATGGCAGACAGTTTTATTTTTATTTTATTTTTATTGCTGCAATTTGTTTTGCTGGAGGAGAACAGGCACAATCAATAGGAATTTATTTGAATATATATATGTATATATAGACACACACACACACACACCATTGCAGTTATGCTCACTGGAGTTATATCAGGTTGCAATAAATCTGGAGTCATGTTTAAGGTTTTTCATGCAAAATGTTGTGCCATGCTACATTTATTGTTTTCTTGAAAAACAGAAATAAAACACTTCGAAGAGAGACCTTTGGCATAAGTGTTAAAGAAATGTTTCAGTCTAATATGGTATAGTGCAACAGAGTACAATTTTCAGAAAAATTAATGTAATACAAAATGTTCACCTTTTGCAGCATTTGGCATGTGCCTTATTATTGATTGCCATCTGAAATACGTAGTAATACATAAAAAAGTTGTTTACAAAAAGATTTGTTTACATTGCAATATGTTTGGAGCAGAAAATAAAAATGATACTTGTAACATTTACATTCAGATTTACATCCACGTTTTTAGTTTTCTTTGGTGCTGTTTGCCAGCCTGGTCGTAAATGATGGTGGTTTTGATCCAGGTCATATGGTCAGAAAGGGAAGTCTAGTTTCTGACTCCAGAGTCCTGCTCTCGTCAGTACTCTGCTCCCACCCAGATTTCGCATGCATTCCCTGTCCATCCTTCCCAGCACTCACAGTTGCCGCAGTTACACAGTCCGTTCCCTGTGATAAAATGTGAGAAAAAACTCTGTGAATTAAAAAGAGCTGCACCGTCCTGCCTGAACTTCCTCTTTTCACACTCTTGCTTCCATAGGTGCAACTTCTCTGACAGGAAGCACACAAGACAGCTATTATTGTATTCATAACAACTTGTGGTTTTCCATCAAGGTAAATTACTAAGTGGGTCTCAAATCTGTTAAATTATGTACATCTGAACATTAGTACAATAGACTTAGGTTTATTCACCTTCATTTTCACATTGCTGGTTTTAGCATTAACACATAAACAAGACAAACATAAAATATATATATATTTTTGTAACAGAGGTTTAAAAAAAACTGTGAAATGAAACTAAATCTAGCCACTAAAAAAGTTAAATCTGGTCCTCTGGACATTCAAAAAAACAAAACAAAGCAAATCAACAAAAAAATGTAGAAACGTTTCGTCTCTCATCCGAGAGACTTCCTCAGTCTGAGGAGCTGTATTCAGCTCAGTCTCTTAAATAGCACCGTCTCAGAGTGGATCAACCAGTTTTGCTGCTGACAACCAAAACCAGCTCAAGAAGGACCATCAGCCTAACAATGGATCATTAGCACACTGATGGCTGTTTACTATTCACAGAGGGCTGAGTGATACTAGCAATCACAGCATTGTAAGAGGGGGACAGTTGAACCCGGAGGCCTCCACCCCTGTTTAACGATGGACGATTTCTTTTCACAAAGATGGCCTCCTTTACTCCTCTCTCAAGCCATTGTTCCTCTCTGTCCAGGATGTGAACATCTTCATCCCTGAAAGAGTGACCGCTGGCCTGGAGATGAGTGTAGACCGCAGAGTCCTGGCCTGATGATGTTGATCTTCTGTGCTGGGCCATCCTTTTGGCCAGTGGCTGTTTAGTTTCCCCGATGTAAGACTGATCACAGCCCTCCTGACACTGAACAGCATACACAACATTACTCTGTTTGTGCCTGGGGACTGGATCTTTGGGATGAACCAGTCTTTGCCGTAATGTATTTTGGGGTTTAAAAGCCACTGGAACGTTATGTTTAGAAAATAAACGTCTCAGTTTCTCTGATACTCCCATAAACTGAGACGTTTATTTTCTAAACATAACGTCCCAGTGGCTTTTAA